CCTAAGACTCCCAAATCCAGGTTTTATCACGGCGAGAGTCTTTGTGTAGGAGAATGAGGTGGAGGTGGAACCAAGAGTCAGCGAATTTACATCCTCACTTCAGCTCCTTTATAAGGACCAAGGCCAAGACACAAAATTCTTTGTATCTTAATTTTTCTAAGAATAAGATAAGACTTAATTACCTCAAAGGAATGACATGAAAACTAACTACCGAAGCCCTCTAATGTCTTTAAAACCTGCCACATTCATGCATGGGGTTATTACTGTCACTGTGTGTGCATGCAGACCTGGCTGCAGGAGGGGCACAGAGACAAAAGCATGGGGCTCCCCGTCCCACCTCTCCCCGCGGACTGACCTGCTGGCTCCAGCCAAGGGTCAGCACGCTCTTCTGGAAAGAGCCGGATGGAAACACTTTTGGCTTTGGGCCATATGAGGTCCCTCGCAGCCGTTCAACTCTGCTGTTGCAGGGCAAAGGTAGCTGTAAATGACTGAGCATGGCTATGTGCCAAGACAACCATTTTGGACACGGAAATGTGCGTTTCATGTAATTTTCACATCATGGAATAAGATTCTTTTGATTTTTTCCTAACCATTTAGAAACAAACACCATTCTTAGCTCACAGGACTCACTACATGCTGGTGGCGGAATGTGGCCTATGGATGATAGTCTGGTAATCCCTGGTTGAAGCTTTTGAAAAAGTGAGAGTATCATTATCATTTAAAGTTTCATTAATTTGTAGCAAAATAAAAATATCATTTGGAGATTCAATGGCATAGAATTATTTTATTTTCAACTTCTACTGGTGAGTTTTATAGCTTCTCTATAACCTAAAAATAAAAATTTGTTTAAATCAGAATTGTCACAATTTAAAACAAGCTTAAAAGTGACTTATTCTAGGTTAATGAACTGTTTCTGGTGAGAAGAAAAGGATCAAAGCAGTGTGGGCTCAGCTGCAATGAGCATGTTCTGCCTCATTCTTCTCTCATCAAAGTCCTGAATATGAATATGGCAATAAGAAGGAGAAAAAAAAATCTAAAAAATAACGTGAGCTTATCCGAGGCTGGGCAGGGTGGTGAGTATGTGTGTCCTGACCTGAGGCCATAATCAACAGGACTAAGGGAAGATCAAGGCCCACAACACTGCTCATTTTGTGTACTCATGCTGACAAAGTACTCATTTGTTGGAAACTGTCACGTGTTCTTCTCAACAGCTGCATTCACCTAGTCTTTCACCCTCTAAGCCTTGTGGCTGGCTCTGCTCAACTCCCACTCACCCCACACCAGAGACCATGCGGGCCCTGAGCTCTCTCAACTCCACCCCCCACCTCCCAAGTGACGCTTCCCCTCCTGTGGGTGACACTGGCCCCTGACAGGTGTGGGCCACCAGGGGCACCCCATTCAGGTGCGCCCACACGCCACTCTCCCTCATGCCCCTGGCACCTGCCCCTCAAAGCACAGGTCCAGCCAAGTAGACTCAGCTGCCTGCCCCTCCCCACTTGCCATTCCCCTTCCCGGCCATCCCCCGTTCCCCAATGCAATGGAGAGATTCCTACTCTTTCCAAGGAGCCAGCGAGGCTCTGCCAAGGCAATTGGCCAGAACCTAACAGCTTTCACCACCCATGATTCCCAGCTCTCAGCTCCCCACACACCAAGCTCTCGTCTCACAAGGATAACTGGGGAGGTCTTTGCTCCCCTTTCATCTTTCAGGCAGCAGAATCTAACTCCCAAGAACAGCCAGTTAGTGCCACCTCCCAACAGCCGCAGAGTCTGGATGTGCAACATGCCACTAAATGACAGAATGCCACTGAGTCTACACTTTGCTTATTTATCTATTTTTCCATACAAGACTTAGGCTCCAAGCATTCTCCCACTGAGAACAAGCAGCAGCTCACTGCTGTTATAATCGTGAGGAGCTCCTGCTCTGTCCCCTTTGTGTTTCTGGTCAAGGGTCCTTTTACCAACACCTGCTGAGTCTGTCACAGACCACCCCACCCGATGGTGATGGCAGGCGGATAAACACTTGCACCAACTGGCCAGGCTTTGCAATTCTGATAGGCTCAAAAAGGGTGTGTGTTCCTTCCATGATTCCAACAGAGCCCTGCTCCAGGCAGCCTTGCGGGGGGCGGTGTCAGAGGCCCTGTGCTCAAGCCACTCTGCCACTGCCACCGCCCAGTTTTGCCAACTCTTTGATTTGAATTCCCTCAGAAGGACATATCCAGTTCATGAACAGAAAACATCTGGACCTTTTTCCTTGGTAATTCTCTCCTCCATGGTTTCACGGTTCAGTATCTGCTATCATCAAAAGCACTGCCTACAACCTCTTTCTTCAGGTGGACATTATTTGAGAGTAAGGGACAAAACCAAAGGGTGAAGTCCAAGACACAACTTTGTTTCAAACAGCCAAGAATGCATGACATAGACCACAGATGTCAACCCTAGTAAGGCAAGAAGGAACCCTGCAGACCAAGCAGCAGATGAACCTAGACTCTTTTCTGCCCACCATCTTGAGAAATTCCCACAGCCAGCGTGAATCCTCGTCCTCCGGGTTCAGACATAAACCTCTCATTAGCCTTGGTTTATGACATTTTGGTCTCAGAAAATCCAAGTGGGCTCAAAGTCTGACCAGCTTCACACACACACAAATACATATTCAATTCCACAAGGGTAAAGTGCCAGGAGGGGGCTGCAGGAGAGAGGAGATGGCCTAGGGCTCAGCCTGACTGGGGGTTTCAGGAGTACGTGCCCCAGGCACACCACACCTTCTCCTCCCTCCTTTTCCGCACTCTGCCCCATCCTCTCCTCCCCTCGTTCTGATGTTGTAAACTCCAGAGCCCTAGCTTTGCTTTTCAACCCAGGAGCCAATCCAGCGCATCAGAAAATCATTCCATGGTCATCTACATGCATATGTACGAAAGGGCTTTTAGCTTCACCAACTGTAGGTCTCACCATTGTAATCTACAAGCTCATAACATTTCCAGGTAACAGAGGTGAGAAATGAAAATGCCACCAGTTATCTGAAGAGGATGATTGTGGGGAGGAAGGACAGGCATGCCAGTATCTGTGTTTCAGCAGCACCAGCCTCAGAAGGGCCCCCAGGCATCCATGTCCCAAGTGCCCCCATCAGCTCTTGAGACTAGAATTGTAGGGAACCCCAGAGAGGTGTCAGAGGGAGTTCTGCAAAGATGGGGCTGTGTCTAGACACCTGCTTTGTATTGCACAATCACTTTGCTGAACCAGAGAGACTCTGCCTGTCTCAGCAAATGCTCATGCATACTTTTAAATTGCAGGTATTAATTTAATCAAGTTAATCAATGTTGGCAGCATGCTGGGTACTGGAAAATAAAGAGGAGCAAGAACACTGCCCCTTTTCTCAAAGGGTGTTAGTCTGGGAGAGGAGGGAAACTGAAAACCCTAAGTGGGACACTCTGGCTTCTCACCCACGAGTCCCTCTCAGAACACACTCCAGACCAGCCTGGCCAGGACTCTCTGGGATAGTGACTTGGCATGTGGATTCAGAACAAGACCCACGGTGTGAAAGGCGCTGCTGAACAAAGATAATGAAAGGGACATCGCAGGCTCAAAGGAGGAGAGGTCGGAGAAGGTGGAGGAGACTCAGGGCCCCTGGATATGGAAGTGGGCATTTTTCAGCCTTTGCTTCATTGACTTCATGCAATGGAAGGGGCAGGCATCTCTCTCAGTGACTGAACAAGAGGAAATGCAGCACAAATCACCAGCACGCAGCCACGTCCCAGAGCCTGCCAGAGAAGGGAAACAGAGGGAATAGAAACCTTGCTGTAGGAGAATTTTTTTCCCCCAAATGAGAGACACCTGAGTTTTTCAGCAAGCGACCACAGCCAGTGAAAATAATGAAGTTAGAGAGAGGAGGTAGAGCAGAGAGCTGGAGGGACGGTTCATGCAACAAACTCCCCAGGCAGGTGTGGAGGCGGGGTCCCTGGGCTAAGAGGGCGCTGCAAATCTGTAGGAAATGGTCAAGTTGACTCATTTTAAGTGATCTTCCAAATTATTCCTGGGATTTTTACAACTTCAATTATTAAAGTTCAAAAGTTTAAAACGCACACGCAGCACATGGAGTTGATGAAGATTTACAGACTATTAAACCCACGAAGTTAAAAGACGGATGCTTTAACTCACATAATAGAGATCCCAGCAAAATACATTTTTTAGTCAGGAGTTCCAGACCAGCCTGGCCAACAGGGTGAAACCCCATCTCTACTAAAAATACAAAAATTAGCTGGGTGTGGTGGCGGGCGCCTGTAATCTCAGCTACTTGGGAGGCTGACGCAGGAGAATTGCTTGAACCCAGGAGGCAGAGGTTGCAGTGAGCCGAGACTGCACCACTGCACTCCAGCCTGGGCAACAGAGCAAGACTCCATCTCAAAAACAACAACAACAACAATAACAAACCCCAAAAAATCACATTTTAAAAAAAGTATGTTTTGGCTGGGCACAGTAGCTCACAATTTTAATCCCAGCACTGTGGGAGGCTGATGCAGGTGCATCACTGAAGGTCAGGAGTTCTAGACCAGTCTGGCCAACATGGTGAAACCCCGTTTCTACTGAAAATACAAAAACAAAAATTAGCCGGGTGTGGTGGTGCCTGCCTGTAATCCCAGCTACTCAGGAGGCTGGGGTTGCATGAGCTGAGTTCACGCCACTGCACTCTAGCCTGGGAGACAGGGGAGACTCCGTCTCGAAAAACCAAACCAAACACTATGTTTAATAAGTGCTTTCTTCAATCATGAGACTATCAAGGCAGTACTGAGAACAAGTTTCACAAAACTGGAATTGAGGCAGCGCCTGTTAGTACCTCATCTGGCTGCTCATCCCAGAGCCCTTAAAGAGACAAACTACTGCATCACGAAAAGATCCTAAAATGCCCTCCTGATCTTTTCCGTGAAACTTCAACTATAACGGGGAAGAGAAGGCTGGACTGCACAGCTGTCTTCCGGGCAGTGACAACTAATCGGTCATGTCTGTACCTGTAGATTTACAAGCTGCGAGGTGGATTTTCCTTGGAGGCACAAGGCCTGCGCAATAAACGCATGCAAATCCTCCAGGCAAAGAGTGTCCACCTGAAAAGGACAGAGAAAGGCCAGTGTTAGGCTACAGGAAAAATTAAACATTTCTTACAAATTGATCTCAGTTACTAACTATGAGTGTGTGTATAGGTGCAAACACGCACACACATGCACGTACAGGCACACGCACAGGCACATACATGTGCACACAAGCACACAGAGGTGCACAGGCATGCACACACACACGGGCACGCATGTGCACGCACAGGTGCACAAACAGGCGCATGCGCAGGCACGCACATGGTGCATCAGACCTCAGGCAGCGGACAGTGTGTAGTGGAAAGACCACAGCCTCTTCACACCATCCTTGGCTCCTGGCTGTGAAGCTCTCTCTATGGTTCCCCAGTTGTGCCCACAACTCACAGCCCAGCTGGAAGGGGAGCCTGAATTTCTAGTACGGTTAGACTCTAATGAGGTAGAACTCTCCAGAACATCTGGGAATAATCATGAGGTGCCAACCAAGACCAGGTCTTAGGGCCAGACAGGTGATCATGTTCGGCACAAACTGCACAGAGCAAACAGTTTAGGGGTTTTCAGAGCGCGAGTATCCACAGCTGGGCTGAGCTGGGGTCATCATACACTTTCAGCAACCCAGAGAAAAACTGTGTCCTCGAATCCTAGTTGAGAGTAAATCAGAACCCACAATATGAGACCCTACTAATACTCTGTGGAATCAAAAGACACAACAAAAGTGAGAAGAGGAAAGAGGGACAGAGTAACAAGAGACAGCAAAGGGCAGGCTGAGCATCCTGGGTGTGGAGTAGATGCCGGAGATGAGGAGAGGGCGTGAAGAGCGAGGAAGATCTGAACGGTCCAGGCTCCAACAACAGCAGACAGTGCTTTTGCCACATCCCATCCCCTGCCCCACTCGGCGAGGGGGTCGAGACAGTCCCCTCCCAGCCACCAAGTTCTGCCACCCAGAAAAAGGCAGAACATGCCCGCTGACTGAATGACTCCACGCCGTCCTAAGACCACAAGAGCTGCTTCTCACAGAAGAGCACCTCCTGTGGCAAATAAAGGCTTACGGAAAAAGAAACAGGAAAGCCAACAGCAAACCCATCAATAACAACTTCACTGACTCTTCTTGGATATTAAAAACGGCTAACATGCCTATTTGCAATAAGAACGACCCCACCATAAATCAGAAAGACTCCTGTGCTCCCCGGGAGGATGGTGGCATTTGCTTCCCCCAGGGTGGGGGTGCTGACTGCCGCGTGGACCTGCTGATGCTTTTACTCACCGTGTCACTATCCTAGTCCACTTTTATTCCAAGTAGCTGTTACCTTGGAATAAAAGGAATAGAAAATATGTGCATTTCTATGATGTAAACTTACCTTTCCAGAGGATATTCTCAGATGAGTCTTTAATAAAATCATTTGTGGCTGTTGTTAACTGGGAGGTCAGACCAAATGAGAGTACAGCTGACTCCTGACAATACAGGTTTGAATTGTATGGGTTCACTTATATGTGGATTTTTTTCCAACCAAATGCAGATGGAAAAATACAGTGTTCACGGGATGTAAAACCCGAATATAAAGGGCCAACTTTTCAAATACGTGGGCTCCGCAGGCTGACTGCAGGACTTGAGCATGCATGGATTTTGGCATCCTTGGGGGTCTTGGGACCAATCCCCCACATATACCAAGACACAACTGTATTTAGTTTCTCTGTCATTTTCAGGCACTGAACAGTATGCGATTTTATCCCATATTACACATCAAAACATCGAATTTAGGCTTAATATATAAAACTGTAATATTTTTATAAATGTATCTTTTTAGCCTTATTCATTCTGAGTTATTATCCCTGTGAATAATACAGCACCTTCTTCATCTAGTGAATGCCAAATTGATTTGTCAATCTGTTGTTTTCCAGTTTTAGAAAGTTCTGATTTAAACATCTCCTTTAAAGACAAGTTACCAAGTCTGCTCATGCCAACTTGCACTAAAGAGATTTTATTTAAGAGGTCTTTGTTAATAGAAAAAAGGTAAAGTGGAAATTTTCCTCCCGATGCTTGTCTTGCTTCAGGTTTATACAAATAGGGATGTGATGTTCCTGTTCTGGGGTCCTGGGCTTTTTCTGCTTGAAGTGAATTTAAAGAACTGACAGCCACCTGCGCAGTTATGAGAAGGCAGAACTGCGCTGCATGGCCACACACAGGATCAGCATTGTCAATACGGAACAGCAGGCAGCATGTCCCTCCTGGAGTGCCCACCATGGCCTCCCCATTGTTGTGTACACACATGGTTATCAACAACAAAACACATGTATTTTTACGGGTGAGAAAAGTCAGCTTACTGGCTACCACCACTTCTCAAGTCCCACTGCGATGCAATGTTAACCACAGACACCTGCAGATTATCAGACAACAGGAATACTAACCAACAGTGCATGCATGTTATATATAATATCAAAAGAAATATCTTTTTACTTTTTTTTCCTCCAATGTTTGGGGGTACATGCGCAGGATGTGTAGGCTTGTTACACAGGTAAACATGTGCCATGAGGGGTGGCTGCACAGATCATCTCATCACCTAGGTATTAAGCCTGGCATCCATTAGCGATTCTTCATGATGCTCTCCTTCCCCCTCCCCCACCCCCCACAGTCCCCCGTGTGTGTCCTTCCCTGCCATGTGACCCTGTGTTCTCATCATTCAGCTCCGCCTTATAAGTGAGAACATGCAGTATTTGGTTTTCTGTTCCCGTGTTCGTTTGCTGAGGATAATGGCCTCCAACTCCATCCATGTCCCTGCAAAGGACATGATCCAATTCCTTTTTATGGCTGCATAGTATTCCATGATGTATATATACCACATTTTCTTTACTCAGTCTATCACTGATAAGCATTTAGGTTGATTCCATGTCTTTGCTATTGTGAATAGTGCTGCAGTGAACATATGCATGCAGGTATCTTTATAATAGAATGATTTCTATTCCTTTGGGTAGATTCAATGATGGGATTGCTGGGTCAAATAGTATTTCTGCCTCTAGGTCTTTGAGGAATCACCACACTGTCTTTCACAATTGTTGAACTAATTTACACTCCCGCCAACAGTGTAAAAGTGTTCTTGTTTCTCTGCAACCTCGCCAGCATTTGTTTTTGACTTTTTAATAACAGCTATTCTGATTGGCATGACAGTATCTCATTGTGGTTTTGATTTGCATTTCTCTAATGATCAGTGATGTTGAATTTTTCTTCATATGTTTGTTGGCTGCATATATATCCCCCCCTTTTTTTTTTTTGAGATAGAGTCTCGCTCTATTGCCCAGGCTGGAGTGCAGTGTCATGATCTCCACTCACTGCAAGCTCCGCCTCCCAGGGTCCTGCCACTGCTTCTGCCTCAGCCTCCGGAGTAGTTGGGATTACAGGCGCCTGCCACCACGCCCGGCTAATTTTTTTTTTTCTTTTTTTGAGATGGGGTTTCACTGTGTTAGCCAGGATGGTCTCAATCTCCTAACCTCGTGATCTGCCTGCCTCAGCCTCCCAAAGTGCTGGGATTACAGGTGTGAGCCACTGTGCCCAGCCACATGTCCTCTTTTGAGAAGTGTCTGTTCATGTCTTTTGCCTACTTTTTAATGGGATTGTTTGCTTTTTTTTTCCTGTAAATTTGTTTAAGTTCCTTGTAGACTGGATATTAGATCTCTGCCAGATGAATAGATAGTAAAAATTTTCTCCTATTCTGTAGGTTGTTTACTCTGATGATAGTTTATTTTGCTGTGCAGAGGCTCTTTAATTAGATCCCATTTGTCAGTTTTTGCTTTTGCTGCAATTGCTTTTGGTGTTTTCATCATGAAGTTTTTACCCATGCCTGTGTTCTGAATGGCATTGCCTAGATTTTCTTCTAGGGTTTTTATGCTTTTGGGTTTACATTTAAGTCTTTAATCCATCTTGGGTTAATTTTTGTAGATAGTGTAATGAAGGGATCCAGTTTCAATTTTCTGTATGTGGCTCAGTCAGTTATCCCAGCACTGTTAATTAAACAGTGAGTCCTTTCCCTATAGATTATTTTTGTCAAGTTGGTAAAAGATCAGATGGTTGTAGATGTGTCATCTTATTTCTGAGTTCTCTATTCTGTTCCATTGGTCTATGTTTCTGTTCTTGTATGAGTACCATGCTGTTTTGGTTATGGCAGTCTTGTAGTATAGTTTGAAGTCGGGTAGCGTGATGCCTCCAGCTTTGCCCTTTTTGGTTAGGATTGTCTTGGCTATTTAGGCTCTTTTGGGTTCTGTATGCATTTTAAAATAGTTTTTTTCTAATTCTGTGAGGAATGTCAATGGTAGTTTAATGGGAACAGCATTGAATCTATAAATTACTTTGGGTCATATGGCCATTTTCACAATATTGATTCTTCCTATCCATGAGCATGGAATGGTTCTCCATTTGTTTGTGTCCTCTCTGATTTCTTTGAGCAGTAGTTTTTAGTTCTCCTTGAAGAGGTCCTTCACTTCCCTTGTTAGCTGTATTACCAGGTATTTTATTCTTTTTGTAGCAATTATGAATGGGAGTTTATTTGTGATTCTCTCTCCTGTTGTTGGTGTATAGGAATACTAGCAATTTTATATCCTGAGACTTTGCTGAAGTTGGTTCCCAGGGATAAAGTCAACTACATCATGGTGGATAAGCTTTTTGATCTGCTGCTGGATTTGGTTTGCCAGTATTTTAGTGAGGATTTTTGCATCAATGTTCATCAAGGATATCGGCCTGAAGTTTTCTCTTTTTGTTCTGTCTATCAGGTTTTGGTATCAAGATGACGCTGGCCTCATAGAACAAGTTAGAAAGGTGTCCTTCCTTTTCAATATTTTGGAATAGTTTCAGCAGAAACAGTGCCAGCTCTTCTTTGTACCTCTGGTAGAATTCAGCTGTGAATCCGTCTGGTTCTGGATTTTGTTTGTTTGATCGGTAAACTATTTATTATAGCCTTAATTTCAGAACTCATTATTGGTCTATTCAGGGATTCAATTTCTTCCTGGTTCAGTCCTGGGAAGGTATATGTGTATAAGAATTTATCAATTTCATCTAGATTTTCTAGTTTATGTGCATAGAGGTGCTCATCGTATTCTCTGATGGTTACTTATATTTCTGTGAGGTGAGTGGTGATAACCCGCTTATCATTTCTGATTGTTTTTATTTGATTCTTCTCTCTTCTTTACTAGGGTAACTAGTGGTCTATTAATTTTTTTCAAAAAAACAGCTCCTGGATTTGATGATTTTTTTTAAAGGGTTTTTTGTGTCTCTATCTCCTTCAGTTCAGCTCTGATCTTGGTTATTTCTTGTGTTCTGCTAGCTTTGGGGTTTTCTTTTGCTCTTGGTTCTCTAGTTCTTTTACCAGAGATGTCAGGTGGTTAACCTGAGATCTTTCTAGCATTTAGTGCTATAAATTTCCCTCTTAACATTGCTTTAGCTGCATCCCAGAGATTCCGGTACGTTGTCTCTTTGTTCTCATTAATTTCGTTATTTAACCAAGAGTCACTCAGGAGCAGGTTGTTCAATTTCCATGTAGCTGTGTGGTTTTGAGTGAATTTCTTAATCTTGAGTTCGAATTTGACTGCTCTGTGGTCTAAGAGACTGTTATGATTTCAACTCTTCTGCATTTGCTGAGAAGTGTTTTACTTCCTATTATGTGATCCATTTTACAGTAAGTGCCGAGCAGCAATGAGAAGAACGTATATTATGCTGAATTTGGGTGGAGAGTTCTGTAGATATCTATCAGGTCCAAGTGATCCAGAGCTGAGTTCAGGTCCCGAATGTCTTCATTAATTTTCTGTCTTGATGATCTAATATTTGTCAGTGGGGTGTTAAAGTCTCCCACTATCATTGTGTGGGAGTCTCTGTGGGTCTCTAAGAACTTGCTTTGTGAATCTGGGTGCTCCTGTACTGGGTGCATATATACATATGATAGTTAGCTCTTCTTGTTAAATTGAAACCTCTAGCATTATGTAATACTCTTGTCTTTTTTTATCTTTGTTGGTTTAAAGTCTGTTTTGTCAGAAACTAGGATTGCAGTCTCTACTTTTTTCTGTTTTCCATTTGCTTGGTAAATTTTCTTCCAACCCTTTATTTTGAGCCCATGTGTGTCTTTGCACATGAGACGGGTTTCCTGAAGACAGCATATGGATGAGTCTTGGCTTTTTATCCAGCTTGCCATTCTGTGCCTTTTAACTGGGGCATTTAGCCCATTTACGTTTAGGGTTAGTATTGTTATGTGTTAATTTGATCCTGTTATCATGATACTAGTTGGTTATTTTGCAGACTTGTTTATGTGGTTGCTTCACAGTATCACTGGTCCGCATACTTCAGTGTGTTTTTGTAGTGGCTGGTAATGGTTTTGCCTTTCCATATTTAATGCTTCCTTCAAGAGTTCTTGCAAGGCAAGCCTGTTGGTGACAAATTCCCTAAGCATTTGCTTGTCTGAAAAGGATCTTATTTCTCCTTCACTTATAAAGTTAGTTTGGTTGAATATAAAATTCAGGGTTTGAAATTCTTAATAATGTTGAGTATTGGCCCTCAATCTCTTTTGGCTTGTAGAGTTTCTGCTGAGAGGTCCGCTGTTAGTCAGATGGGTTTCCCTTTGTAGGTGACCTGGCCTTTCTCTCTGGCTGCCCTTAACATTTTTTCTTTCATTTCAACCTGGAGAAACTGATGATTATGTGTCTTGTGGTTGATCTTCTCATACAGTATCTTACTGGGGTTCTTTGTCTTTTCTGAATTTGAAAGTTGGCCTATCTCGCTAGGTTGAGAAAGTTCTCCTGAATGATATCCTAAAGTATGTTTTCCAACTTGGTTCCATTCTCCCATCTTTTTCAGGTACCCAGTCAGTTGTAAGTTTGGTCTCTTCATAATGTCATATTTTTTGGAGGTTTTGTTTATTCCTTTTCATTCTTTTGTCTCTATTCTTGTCTGCCTATCTTAATTCAGGAAGACAGTCTTCAAGCTCTGAGATTCTTTCCTCCATTTGGTCTATTCTGCTACTGATACTTGTGGCTGCACTGTGAAGTTCTTGTGTTGTGTTTTTCAGCTCCATCAAGTTGGTTATGTTCCTCTCTAAACTGGCTATTATGGCTATCAGCTCCTGTAGTTTTATCACATTTCTTAGCTTCTTTGCATTGGATTACAACATGCTCCTTTAGCTTGGCGAAGTTCATTATTAGCCACCTTCTGAAGCCTACTTCTGTCAAATCAGGCGTTTTAGCCTCAGCACAGTTCTGTGTCCTTGCTGGAGAGGTGTTTGCAGTCACGTGGAGGAGAAAAGGCACGCTGGCTTTTTCAGTTTTCAGGATCTTTGCATTGATTCTTTCTCATCTTTATAGGCTTATCTACCTTTGTCTTTGAGGTCTCTAACCCTATCCCTAACCTTTGAATGAGGTTTTTGTGGGGTCTTTTTTGTTGATGTTGTTGTTTTCTGTTTTTCTTTTAACAGGCCATTCTACCGTAGGGCTGTTGCGGTTTGCTGGAGGTCTACTCCAGATGCCAGTTGCCTCATTTCTCCCATACCTGGAGGTATAGCCAGTGAACACTGTGAAACAGCAAAGATGGCAGCCAGCTCCTTCCTCTGGAAGCGCCGTCCTAGCGGTTACTGACCTGTTGCTGGCCCACACCCACCTGTAGGAGGTGGCTGGAGACCCCTATTGGGAGGACTCACCCAGTCAGGAGAACAGGATCAGGGATCTGGCTGCTTTTTGGTAGAGCTGATGTGCTGCACTAGAGGTGGGGGTCCCTTCCTCGTCTGGACTGCCTGTATTCTCCAAAGCTGGCAGGCTGGAGCAGGTGAGTTGACTGAACTGAGGCCTCCCCTCTTCCTAGGAACTTGGACCCATCTAAGGCAGACTCCGATTCACTGCCATTGGCTGGCTAGGATTCCAAGCCAGTGGGTCTTAAATTGTGAGGTGACATGGAAGCGGAGCCTGCAGAATGATGCCGTTTGGCTCCCTGGATTCAGCCCCTTTCCTAGGGATATGTACGGACAGATTTCTTGTCTTGCCAGGGATCCCAGAGCCGGAGTATGTAAAACTCTTGGGTCTCTGTGTATGCCTGAGCGGCTGCTCTGCTGAGACTCCAAACAGCTCTGTGCATTGGACCCTAGGCCCTGGTAGCATGGGCTCATGAAGGATCTGATACACGGGTTGTAAAGATCCATGGGAGAAGCATGGTTTCCCAGGCAGGGTTGCACAATCATTCATGGCTTCCCCTGGCTGGGGGTGGGGGTTCCTTTGGCTCCATACTGTTCCCAGGTGGGGCCCTGCTCTCCACCCCTGGTTTACTTTGTTCTCTGTGGGTTGTGTTGTTTGCCTAGTCAGTCCCAATGTGAAAATCTGAGCATTTCAGCTGAAAGTGTTGAATTCACTTGCCCCTTTTTGTTCCTCTCTGTGAGAGCTATGGACCGTGGCTTTTCTAATCGGCCATCTTGGATTCATCTCCTCACTTTTTACATTTACATTTTAAATAGTCCTGCCATCCTATATTAATTTATAATCTTCTATGTCTTGAGCAAATAAAGAAGTAATCTGCTTAAAATGATAATGCAAAAACTAAGGTTTACATGGCATGTGCATGTGAAACCAATAATGCAGCAATAAAACCTCTAAGCACTACTCAGCCATATTATGTCTTACAAAATGCAAAATGTAGAGCAAGCTATAGAATGGGCAGAGCCAAGAGGACATTTAGAAAGAAAAAATCAGTCCAAGGTTCCCTTGAGACGTAATTCCACAATAAGAGTACATTTCTTAAAGACAATCAATAATTTGTAAAGTAAATTCAGGTTTGAAAAAAGAATTATATAATTTTCTAATCCAGGAACACTGAATGGCTATGCCAATGGAGACCCACCATATAGGGAGGTCAGAGAAGCCGGGATGATGGCTTGAAGGAGTGAAGAAAGCTTATGAGATGTCTCGACAGCCTGAAGAAGTAGATACTTTGTCCACAGTGGGACAAAAATCATCTTAAATCACAGAGCTAGGGAGGGAGGTGGGGGGGAGCGATGCAGAGAAAGAGGGGCTGGGAGACGGGAGCGTTCTCAGCCTTTCTCTTACTAAAGGTGTCCAAGCAATATTGTGCATGTAAAAAACTATTAAAAAGGTGAATCTTTTAACTGACCTTTATGATTTTCACATATAAACTAGGTATAAAGCTAATGCAAAAGAAACAGTCCACCTTGTTGAGTGAGCCTAAAACGAAGGTTCTAGCACTACAATGCCTAGCGCAGCTGGATGGGAGGACATAAATGATGAAGGTCATGACACCACCAGCTGATATCGTCCCAACAGCCCTAGGAAGCAGCTACTATGATTATCTCCTTTTCAGATTAGAAAATGAAGGCACATAATCAGTAAACATTTGCTGGATGATGGAATGAAACTGACAGAGGAAAAAGCTGAAGTAATCTGCCCAGAGGCAAAGAGCTACGAGAAGCTAGGTCTCTAGCTGGTCCCTTCTCACCTTTACACTAAAACCCAGAAACAAGAACCACCACCCAAACAATGCCACGAGGACAGAGGAGGTACACTATGGTCCACAAAGTTGGAGAAAGTTTAGTCAAGGCCAAAGCAGCTTCCATCACCTGCAAGATTTCCTAAGTCTCTAATACAATCTCTAAGTCTCCATTGTATTAGTGACAAGAGTTTCTCGTACGTATTTTGCCATACAATCTTCTTTTTAGTTTTAGAGCACCTCAAAGAACTAATAATGTTCCATGGAACAGACACTGGAAAAAGACGATCTGGGACACCAGCCATGGTGATATTCCACACACTCCCCCTCATAAAGTAAGCGCAGGCTACAGCGACTAGAACGGGCAGCTGGACATTACCTGCACAAAGAGGTAGATCAAGAGGCAGCACAAAGCTTGAAACGGGCTTTCGACAGCCTGCAGTTCTTCTCTTGAGGAGGAAAGGTTGAAACAGGCGAGGAGTGTGTCCAAGCGCCGAACCTGCATTTCTGGCTCTTGATTCAGCCATAATATTTTCAAACTAGGCGTTCCCCCTAGTTAGGAAAAAAAGTCCATTAACTATTGTTCTTTGCAGCACAGAGTTATAATATGCTCCTTGTAGAAATACAGTGAAAGGAAACAAATCTTGTCCCTTCCTGATGTAAAACGAACTAGGAAGTAAACACGATCAGATTCCTGGTTTTTTAAACGCCCAAACCTAAAGGGCTGGCATACGTACGTTTCAACGAAAACATTCCTTCTTTTTTTAATGACTAAATTGTGAGGGATACTGCACTTCCAACCGTTAAGAATGTTTTCAGAGCATCTTTCAAATGCACTGTCTCAAGGATACAACAAGGCACTGCCGCCCTGCAGTATCACAGCTCTGATGGGGCACTTGGATGAAACGCCATCCATCTACCCCCTTAGTTTGCTCTCTTACTCTCCTAAATTAATGGTTTTCAACCCTTCATGTGGAAAAGAATCAACTGTAGAGATTATTTTAAAAAATGCATTTTCCTGGGATCTATATGCAGAAACTCTGATTTGATTTGACAGGTATGGGTGCCTGGAAGTCTGCATTTTCACAACCCAGAAGGCAATCTGTGAACCCCAGGCTTTGGAAAGCACTTTCCTAAAACTATTAAACAAACAGAAATTCCTAAAATGTAATTTTTAGTGTTTCACTTCTATATTTTATATATACGTTTAAATTATTAAAATCAAAAGAAAAAAGCCCTTACTCATTTACTTAAGCCACGACAAATGACGACGACTTACGCAGAGTTGCAGATGCAGGTGCAGCTCTGCTTCCACACTGACAAACAGAAAGGTGCCGTTCATAAGGTCAGACTTGTTCATCTGTGACTGGCGAGATGGCCTCCCTTGCTATCCACAGCTGTGATTTTCTGTGAGAGCCACTTGACAATAAAATATATGCCAAAAGCTCAAAGCTGGCTGGGATCTAAATGTCCCTTTTGTTTACTAAGGAAACAGAACCTACTAACCAAATGGCTTCAGAGTCAAATGACCTAAAAAAGGAAATTCTTCTCTTTCTTTTCTTACGTTTCCCACGATGGCAGTGATTACCCTCAGGGGTATATTTCCCGCCATCAGAAGTGAAACAACTCAACAAAACTCACTTGAATTCCAAAATGGCTGAAGTATTCCCTCCACCTGATAAGCTTTTTTTCTCTAAAGAGAAAGAAAACGCTAAAGATAACTAGCCAACACAAAACAACCCTATGGCAGTAGTACTTCAGAGATGAGTCCGAGACAACCACAAGTGTCAGTAATTGCTTCTTAGAAACATACTTTCAGGAGAATAATCAACTCAGGCAACGTGTGCAGCCTCGGGACTGTGGAATACAGTGCAGCAATTCCTCAAGAGTCTAGACACAGAAATACCATTTGACCCAGCAATCCCATTACTAGGTATATACTCAAAGGTATAAATCTTTCTACCATAAAGACACATGCACATATATGTTTACTGCGGCACTATTCACAATAACAAAGACTTGGAACCAAAACAAATGCCCATCAATGATAGACTGGATAAACAAAATGTGGCACATACACACCACAGAATACTATGCAGCCATAAAAAAGAATGAGTTCATGTCCTTTGCAGGGACATGGATGAAGCTGGAAACCCTAATTCTCAGCTAACTCGCACAAGAACAGAAAACCAAACACCGCATGTTCTCACTCGTAAGTGGAAGCTGAACAATGAGAGCACATGGACACAGGGAGGGGAACAACACACACCAGGTCCTGTTGGGGGGTCGGGGGCAAGGGGAGGGAGAGCATTAGGACAAATACCTAATGCATATGGGGCTTAAAACCTAGATGATGGGCTGATAGGTGCAGCAAGCCACTATGGCACATGTATACCTCTGTAACAATCCTACAAGTTCTGCACATGTATCCCAGAACTCAAATTAAAAACAAAAACAAAAATACTCAAAAAAACCCTGACTACGCACATGCAAAGTGAATCTTTAGATGAGCAACTTCAAAAGCCTATTTATAATAAGCAAAAAAATTCATTCATATATAAACAGAATACATTTACATCTCAATCCATCAAACTCTATACTTATATGGATAAGTATTCTAATTTCACGCTTGCAAAAATGACATCATTACACCACTCCCATCTGGTGCATTCAACAATGAAAGTGGCTATAAAAAGTAGTAAATGCAAAATTTAACCCTTGTGACTCTAATGTGAATTTGTTAACACATTTGACAAAGCTTCACACTATTTTTTACAAGTTGGTGAAAAACCACTTTCAAGATTTTAACCGATTTATGTTGATCTGCGATGGTCGGGGTGGTTTCAGACACTGGCAGCCACATAAGCAGAGCCTCCACCAAGGCCAGACACAGGTACACCCACACACCAGCTTCCTTAAGTGCATGTGCACACACACACACACGCACACACCCAGCTTTCTTAAGTGCATGTGCACGCACACACACACGCCCCCCAGCTTCCTTTTACCACTCACAGAAGCCTCCAAGACTTGTTGAGACTTTCTTGACTGACCTGTATGCAACAAGGGTCAGATGAAAACCTTCAACAATGTATGTAAGAGGAGGTGAACAAGAAAGCCACTGCAACTGTTTGATAGCAAATGACAGACTGAATCAAATACGTGGTCTTTTTTTCATGAAATGCATGACTTACCCTCATTTCATTTTGTAAAATAGTCTTCTAAGATATTCTGCAATTCTGGTAAATCAAATGTGTATAACCAAGAAATACTAAGCTTTCTGATTGTTGAACACCACTTTAAAAAGGTCCTTCAAGATAGACAAATTACCAATTAGATGTGTGCATTAGTTTTCCTAGGTTTCTAAAATAAGGATATGCTTAAAGTAACTTAAACAATGACACTTACAAGAGAAAAAAAGCTATCAGCACTTTGAAAATGAAGAATTGACAAATCTACAATTCTGGAGACTGAAAAGGCAATTTCAAATGCTTGCCTTTGGTGTGGGCCAAGACTCCCACCCAAAGAATGGAGAATGTCAGGAAAGTGAGTAAGAGGAGTGAGAGCAGTGTGCTGGGAAAGGGTAGACACACATGCACAGATCAAGGACCTTCACGAGCTGGGTTTGAGAAATGGAAGCTAAACTGCGTTATCAGAAACATCATCTTCCATGATATATTGTAAAGGAAATGAAATGTAGTATCCTGTAGACATGCTCCCACACGCACACATGGGAAGAAGTGTAGTATATACGTCCTGTAGACATGCTCCCACACGCACACATGGAAAGGAAGTGCAGTATATATGTCCTGTAGACATGCTCCCACATGCACACATATAAAGGAAGTGCAGTACATACATCCTGTAGACATGCTCCCACACGCACACATGGAAGTGCAGTATATATGTCCTGTAGACATGCTTCCACATGCACACATATAAAGGAAGTACAGTATATACATCCTGTAGACATGCTCCCACACGCACACATGGAAAGGAAGTGCAGTATATATGTCCTGTAGACATGCTCCCACATGCACACATATAAAGGAAGTGTAGTATATACGTCCTGTAGACATGCTCCCACACGCACACATATAAAGGAAGTGTAGTATATACATCCTGTAGACATGCTCCCACACCCACACATATAGAGGAAGTGTAGTATATATATGTCCTGTAGACACGCTCCCACACGCACACATATAAAGATGGGGCTCATACGCTGGGCAGTGGCTCACACCTGTAACCCCAACATTTTGGGAGGCAGAAGCGGATGGATCACTTGAGGCCAGGAATTTGACACCAGCCTGGCCAACAAGGCGAAACGCCAGTCTCTACTAAAAATACAAAAATTAGGGTGTGGTGGCATGTGCCTGTAGTCCCAGCTACTCAGGACGCGGAGGTTGCAGTGAGCTGAGATTGTGCCACTGCACTCCAGTCTGGGCAACAGAGCGAGACTCCGTTTCAAAAAAAAAAAAAAAAAAAAAAAAGATGAGGCCCACAGAAATACACACATGTAAATAAGCTCCCTGAATAAAACAAACCAGTGTCTTGGTCCATCTGAGATGCTACGGAAAACACCATAAATGAAGTAGCTTGTAACAGCAGAAAATTTCTGGAGGCTGGAAGTCCAAGATCAAGGTGCCAGCATGGTTGGTTTCTGGTGAGGCCCTGCTTCCTGGTTCACAGACAGCACACGGCACCTTCAGACCGAACAAGGGGCCTCTTTTATAAGGGCAGGAATCGCATCTAATCACCTCATTCCCTCCCAAAGGCCCAACTCCAAATACCATCACATTAGTGATTAAGTTTTCAACACAGGAATTTGGCAGGGGGCGGTGGGGGGGGTTACAAACATTCAAACCATAGCACCCAGGAATGAGATTTCTTTTTCTGCTCCCTGGCTGATTAATTTTGATTATTTCCCCTTCCTAATTTTTAACTAATTTCTATAGTTTTTTCCTGCACTTCCACTTTGTTGAAAAATACTTGTGATTTCCTTTTATTTCTACAATTCAGGAAAGCCAACATTAAATCACACGTGCTGTCAGAGGAAAAAGCCTTTAAAAAAGAAAAAGAACATGGGCCACTATATTGAAAAAGTCACTGAAAATGTAGCACTCATGAGATTACCCTAATTAAAACTGTCTTAGAAGAACAACGAAAATCAGGTATGGGTGTCATTTGGGAAAAACCGGCTCTAATGGTGCGACAAGAACCTTTTGCAGGTTTTCCTGACAGGTGGAAGAGGAGGGCCCATCGGCAGGATCTCACTTTTTTTTTTGAGATGGAGTCTTGCTGTTGTCGCCCGGGCCGGAGTGCAATGGCATGATCTCAGCTCACTGCAACCTCCGCCTCCAGGGTTCCAGCAATTCTCCTGCCTCAGCCTACTGAGTAGCTGAGATTACAGGTGCCTGCCACCACACCCGGCTAATTTTTGTATTTTTAGTAGAGACGGGGTTTCACCATATTGGCCAGGCTGGTCTCAAACTCCTGACCTCAGGTGACCCACCTGCCATGGCCTCCCAAAGTGCTGGGATTACAGGCGTGACCCCCACCCCGCCCGGCTGATCTCACTGTTTTTAATCGTATCTTGTATTCTGTGAATACTTGTGACAGGAAATTGGTTGCTCTGTTTTCCATTTTCGTTTAAAATCATTTGGCAATATTCCTCATAGATACTGAAAAGCATTTTAAATTTAAAATAGTCTATTTTTAATTATCGCTAATGCAAGTGTAAATAAAGAGTCATCCATTGAAATAACCTGGAATAAAAATTCAGTAATAGTTGTGGAAACCAGTGTGTTTGAGACGTGGCCCTCCGTGTAAAAGTTCAAATCCTATGTCCAGAGTAACAGCTGTGGAAATGAGTGTGTCGGAGATGTGGCCCTCCGTGTAAAAGTTCAAATCCAATTTCTAGAGTAATAGCTGTGAAAAAGAGTGTGTCTGAGACGTGGCCCTCCGTGTAAAAGTTCAAATCCTACGTCCAGAGTAACAGCTGTGGAAATGAGTGTGTCTGAGACGTGGCCCTCCGTGTAAAAGCTCAAATCCTACGTCCAGAGTAACAGCTGTGGAAATGAGTGTGTCTGAGACGTGGCCCTCCGTGTAAAAGTTCAAATCCTATGTCCAGCGTAACAGCTGTGGAAATGAGTGTGTCCGAGACGTGGCCCTCCGTGTAAAAATTCAAATCCAATTTCTAGAGCAACAGCTGTGGAAATGAGTGTGTTTGAGACGTGGCCCTCTGTGTGAAAGTTCAAATCCAATTTCTAGAGTAATAGCTGTGAAAAAGAGTGTGTTTGAAACGTGGCCCTCCATGTAAAAGTTCAAATCCTACGTCCAGAGTAACAGCTGTGGAAATGAGTGAGTCTGAGACGTAGCCCTCCGAGTAAAAGTTCAAATCCAATTTCTAGAGCAACAGCTGTGGAAATGAGTGTGTCTGAGACGTGGCCCTCCGTGTAAAAGTTCAAATCCAATTTCTAGAGTAATAGCTGTCTACAATTGATTGATTAACAGAATAAGGAACACTCCCTACAACAGCTTTTCTTAACTTCTCTCTCAATACAATTCCATGTATTTAAAAACCATTTATAGTGCTCAGATCCATACTTGGTAAATTACAGGTTCATGTGATGGAGAATAATAGCAACACCAGAGAATTGAATGTATATGAAAATGGAATAGCAAAACTGTGGGAAAATATTTGTTCTGTGAAACAATGATGTGAGCCACTAAAAATAAACTCTGAAGCTTAGCCTCCTCTTCCTTAACTGTTTGTATGTAGAACCCTACCCCGACACTTGTACATTCCTGACCTGTTTCAGATACTACGAACTCACAGAAAGAAAGGCTGTTCTTTGGATATACTTCAGCTAATCTGTAGGTGAACTTGTTTTTCCTTACCTCTCATTAAGTTTTAAGATACTACTCATGAAAATATAACCTTTTTTCCAGTTAAAATAACCCTCCTTTATCTTCTCTTTCTGGTTCCAGAACTCATCAAAATATACTTTCAGTGGTGGGGAAAAGATAAGATTGTTGATTCCAGCAGAATATCAAGAATCTATCCTGCTAAACTTCATGGACGTCTACCAAGCAACAACTAGATGTCAGGCACTGGGGCTGTGGCAGCAACATGCCCTGACCACGGCCATCCTTCTGTCTCTTTTCTCTCCCCACTGCTGTGGACCTGGACCAGGGTGGTGGAGAAAGAGGCAGAGCACCGCCGCAGATGGTCCAGGGTAAACCTGCCACAGCATCTTCCTTCCATTATTTTAGGACTTTATTAGATGAATACATTAATCATGAGCCAAGAGTTTAAATAAAAACTAGTATTTGTGCAGTTCTGGTAAAAGATGCTTTCCATAACTGATCCATTCTTAGACTTTTATCATAGAATGGAAAGATCTGTGGTTCATTTAAAGAAAGGCTGTCTGTACCTGGAACACTCATCTGCAGTGGCCTGACGAGGTCCGGGTGCCTCAGTGGGTTCCCAGGATATACAAACCACTCCTTGACAGCCGGGCAGGTGCTGGCAACATCTGAAGAAAAAGAGTTGGGTCAGTAGATGTGCAAGAGCACGCGTCGCCAAGCTCACAGTGTCACAGACCCAGCTCTGCCCAGGTGGCCAATTCAAAGTCCATAAATAGGTGAGTTCTCAAATCCAAGGTGACTAAGTAACCTTAGTTATCCAACAATTAATTTCTTATCCTCCAATCTGAAGGTAACCTGTTCACTCCATCAAGAACCATACTCTGTGGAACCGACAAAATCCTCAAGATAATCTGGGTAAGTAAACAATAATATGGGAGAGAGAGTTTACCATGTTAATGACTCCTACGATGTCCTTCCTCCCTAACCCCCTCACACTGTTCCAGAAAACACATAAAGAAAACTACTGGAATTTGACAGTCAACACGGATACAGTTCTTTAAAGCAAGACCAGGTAAAGAAGACAGTGGGTGTAGCTGAGGAACTCTAAAGGGAGGAGGTCAGCAGAGAGCAGGTGCTTACAGGGGAAGGGAAGAAGAGGTGGTGTCCCTAGATGCCAGACATTCCAGCACAAACATGATCATCAGTCAGACAGCTGGTCAAGTTGGGCAGAGGGCTTCGATGCGGGGCAGAGAGAGGCGGTGGGCTGGATCCAGGGCTGGGGGAAGCAGGCCTCGATGAAGAGAAGAAGAGGGGGCACTTTTCTATAAAAGAGCTGAGAAATGAAGTGGAGAGATGTTCCCTTAAAGTAGAAGAAAAAGACAAAAACAGGAATCAAAGATGAAGAAAGAGAGTATCAATCCAGGGAGCCCCACCTGCATTTCACAGCAGTTCTAGGAGAGAACTGAGACAACAGAGATTTGCTAAACACAGGATAAAGAGAACATCTCAAAACCTTCTAAGAAAAAAAAAGTCAGCAAAAAAGGAACATGAATCACTCCAGCACTGGACTTTGCACTCGGCATTATCAGCACCTGTGATGCCACAGGACCGTGGCGGTGGCTGTGATGAAGGAGAGTTGCTGAGCAGGGGACCGTGGCGGTGGCTGTGATGGAGCCACTGGGCAGGGGACCGTGGTGGTGGCTGTGATGGAGAGTTACTGAGCAGGGGACCGTGGCGGTGGCTGTGATGGAGCCACTGGGCAGGGGACCGTGGTGGTGGGCGCTTGCGAATGGGCAGAGCCACCGACCTGCCTTCCTGCCGTCAACACCAGAACTGAAGAAAGGGTTCTAGTGACTGCATTCATGTGATGGACGATGGGCGGGGCCAGATTGTTATCCCAGGCAGAAGGGAAACAACCCTCTATCACGCCAATTTTCTGCCCACAGGCACTGTCCAGATTGTATCCTAGTGAGGGAGGTAGTCCTCACATGAGGACACAGAGACTGGAGATCAAGACTACTGAGGCCACAATCTGCAGGACAGAGCACCAGAGAGCAGGGCAGCGTGCAGACCCAAGTGCTCTTTAGCCTCCGGCTGAAGAGAGAGCTGTCAGGTTTAGGGTAAGACTCAGAGAAGCCAGGCAAGGTCCTGGGGCTGACCAACCAATGGAGCTTGCACGGGGCTTGAAGACAGCGGAGTGTCCACCACCAGCAAACATGAAGAGGCCTCGTCCTACACCTCGGGCACTCTGGTGACAGCCCGGGAGGCCCTGTCTTAGGAGTAGGCCTGTGCTAGCGGTAAAGTGAAAGCCACAACGGACACAGCCTAATAAAGTTTAAACGTAAGTCTCGGAAGGAGCAGGCAGAGCAACTGCCTGACAGAACAAAACTCAACACTCTTCTTAGTATCCAAAATGTTCTAGCATCCAATCAAAAAACGCCAGACGTGAAAATAAGCAAAACTATGTGGACCCTGTGGGAGGAAGCCAATAAATGGCCCAGAGGAAGAGGCAAAAGAGACTGAGAAAGACAAAATCTTATTTTAAAAATGCTCATCTCTTCCAAATTTGATAGGAAATATCAACCCATAGATTTAGGAAGCTCAAGAATCCCATGAAGGGAGCAGAGTGAACCTTACTTAAAATCCAGCAAACAGGAGAGGAATTGTAAAGACAGCCAGAGGAAAAAAAGCCATGATACACATGGGGAACAATGATAAAGATGAGCCTTGTTGTCTCATAAGAAAGTACACAAGCCAGGAGAAAATACAGAACTACCTAAAATTCTATATGCAGCAAAACTGTACCCCCCCAAACAAAGATGAAATACAGTTCCGCAGGGCATAACAATAATCCGGTTAGTGACGGACTGCATACACATTCCTGGTGACGCCTTGATGATCCTGACCCCGTGGAGTCCTAGACTAAATTTGTGTGCTTGTGTCTGAGTTTTTAACAAAGAAGTTTAAAAAAATTAAAAATTTCTAAAGTATGAATTCAGGAGGTAGAGTTAAAAAATTTTCCAATAGAAAAAGGCTTATACAATGACGTAAAGAATTTTTTGTTCAGCTGTATAATGTATTTGTATTTTAAGTTAGGTGTTAATTACAAAAGAGTCAAAAAGTTAAATAAATTTAAGTTTATAAAGTAAAAAAGTTAGAGTAAGGTTAATTTATTGTTGAGGAAAGAAATATTTTTTATGAATGTATGATAGCCCTAAGTGTGCAGTATGTATAAAGCCTACAGCAGTGTATGGTCGTGTCCTGGCTTCCCATTCACTCTCCACTCACTCACTGGAGTCACTGGAGCAGCCGCGTGTGCAGTGTGTATAAAGCCTACAGCAGTGTACGATCATGTCCTGGCCTTCCCATTCACTCTCCATTCGCTCACCCAGCGGACTCATCAGAGCAGCCCGTGTGTGCAGTGTGTATAAAGCCTACAGCCGTGTATGGTCATGTCCTGGCTTCCCACACACTCCCCACTCGCTCATGGACTCACGAGAGCAGCCCGTGTGTGCAGTGTGTATAAAGTCTACAGCAGTGTACGATCATGTCCTGGCTTTCCCATTCACTCTCCACTCGCTCACCAGCCTCACCAAAGCAGTCTGCGTGTGCAGTGTGTATAAAGCCTACAGCCGTGTATGGTCATGTCCTGGCTTCCCACTCACTCCCCACTCACTCATGGACTCACGAGAGCAGCCTGTGTGTGCAGTGTGTATAAAGTCTATAATTTAAAGTGGGTATTGGCAAACTACCAGCTCATGGATCAAATCTGCCTGCTTTTATACAGTCTGAAAACTAATAATGTTTTTCATATTTTTTTAATGGTTGGAAAAAAATGTTTTTAAGAATATTTTGTGACTCCTGAGAATTATACTCTCTAAAATTCAAGTTTTGGCCTGGTGCGGTAACTTGCATCTGTAATCCCAACACTTTGGGATGCTGAGGTGGGAGGAGCGCTTGAGGTCAGGAGTTTGAGACCAGCCTAGGTAACACAGCGAGATCCTATCTCTTCAAAAAAAAATTTTTTTTAATTAGCTGGGTGTGGTGGCGCATGACTGTCATCTCAGTTACTCAAGAGGCTTAGGCAAGAGGACCCCTTCAGCCTTGGAGCTGAAGGCTGCAGTGAACTGTGATGGTGCCACTGCACTCCAGCCTGGGCAACAGAGTGAGACTCTGTCTCTGAAAAATAAATCAATCAATAAAATAAAATTCAAGTTCTGTCACATGGGAACATTGAATAAAGGCTTCCTGGCACACAGCCACACTCATTCCTGCACATGTTGTCTCTGGTTGTTCTTGCACTACAATAGCAGGATTGGGTAGTTGTGACAGGGACTGTGGAGGGAGCCCTCAAAACCTATAATATTTATTATTATCTGACCCTTCACAGAAAAAGTGTGCCAACCCCAATTTAAAAGTGTTAAAATCATGTATTATAGGGTTTAAAACATACGCATAATCTCCAAACGTTACATATTGGTTACATACTGTATGCTGCTATTTATATAACATTCTCAAATGAACAAGAACATAGAGATGAAAAACAGACTAACAGTTGCCAGAGGACAGGAATGGGGGGAAGAAAGATTGCCAGGACATAGGGGCACATGGAGGGAGTGCTAACAAACCAGTCCGTATCTTGGCTGTGGTGGTGGTTGCAGGATCTTTGCACGGACCTACACACCCACACACATAACTGCATGCATGTAAAAAACGGCACAAGTGAATAAGGTCTGCAGTTTGGTTAGCACTGTACCTGATGTTAAATTTCTGGCTTTGATATTACACCACAGTTATAGTAGATGTCATCTTTGGAGGAATCTGAGTGAAGGGTACATGGGAATCTATGTACTATTCTTGCAACTTCCTGTGAATCTGTAATTATTTCAAATTTAAAATATATATATATATGTATAAGACATAAAACAACAATAGCAAAAATGTTGGGGAAAATGCAAATACACAGTTATAAGGTTTTTATATTGCAAGTAACATGGTATATTATTCGATAGTAAACGGTGATGTTAAAGATATTAAAAGTAATTGCAAAAACTGCAATTACTTTTGTACCAATCTAACAGACCCCCAGATCAACCACTTTTTTTTTTTTCTTTTGAGACTAAGTCTCGCTCTTGTCCCCAGGCTGGAGTGCAATGGCGTGACCTTGGCTCACTGCAACCTCTGCCTCCTGGGCTCAAGCAATTCTCCTACCTTAGCCTCCCGAGTAGCTGGGATTACAGGCACCTGCCAACACGCCCAGCTAATTTTTATGTTTTTAGTAGAGACAGGGTTTCACCATGTTGGCCAGGCTGGTCTCAAACTCCTGACCTCAGGTGATCTGCCCACCTCAGCCTCCCAAAGTGCTGAGATTACAGGCATGAGCTACCACGTTCAGCCAACCACTTTTTTTTTTTAAATGGTAAATCTAGTAATCCAAATGAGTGCACAACAACACAATACTAAAAATTATTAAACTAATCCAAAAGAAGTAAGAAAATGAGAAAATAAGGTGGGGGGAAAAAGAACAAAGAGTAAAATGGAAGAGTGAGCCCTAATTACGCCAGAAGTTACATTCAGTGTGAACATTCCAATTAAAAGAAAGAGACTGTGACACTGGACGTGCCGTCTTTAAAACAGATGCACTTTAAATGTTAAGAAATAGTTTAAAAGTAAAAGGATAGAAAAAAACACATCATGCAAACATTAATAGTAAGAATACTGGAGTGACTATATTACAATAAAACAAAGACAACTTTAGGACAAGGAGTATTACCATGTTTTTAAAAGTGAACTCTCCTATTAAAAGGGTTGATTCATTAAGAAACATAACAGTCCTCAATATATATGCACCTAACAACAGTTTCAAAATACCTACAGCAAAAACTGACAGAACAGAAGGAATAAATAGACAAATCCACAGTAAGAGCTGGAGTTTTTAACTGTTTTCTCTCAGGAACTAAGAACAAGTAGACAGAAACTCAGTAAAAGACTTGAATAACCTTATTAGCACTACTGACTTCTACAGAACACTCTACTCCACAACTGTAAAATACACATTTTCAAATACAAATGGGATCATAAACTAAGTCAAACACATAACATAGAGTACAGTTCATTATCATCATATATAAAACAGCAAAAACAGCATTTTATTTTCACATATTAATAATGTAAACTTCACGTAGAAAGCCAAAAAGTTGAGGGAGAAAGAACTAAATATTAACCATGAAGACAAGTTCAATGTGAATGTTTTTTCCTGTTTATGTGGTTATCTAATAAAGTTATCCACTTGGTCATAAATACATTACATTAACAAAGTATGAAATTTAGGTTAGTGAAGTTTACATAGTTTAATTTAATGAAAGAGTCTGAAAATAACTCCAATATTGTGATTTAATGTAAAAACGTTTTCATGAGGAAGATCTCTTTTTTCCATCATTAGAGTCAATGTGCAAATATCCAGGTTAAGAAAGAATGTGGGTGGAGAGCACCTAAGAAAAAGAAATTTTAAAAAATGATTTAAATATGTGCAAAAATCACAAGCATTCTTATACACCAGTAACAGACAAACAGAGAGCCAAATCATGAATGAACTCCCATTCACAATAGCTTCAAAGAGAATAAAATACCTAGGAATCCAACTTACAAGGGATGTAAAGGACCTCTTCAAGGAGAACTACAAACCACTGCTCAGTGAAATAAAAGAGGACACAAACAAATGGAAGAACATTCCATGCTCATGGATAGGAAGAATCAATATTGTGAAAATGGCCATACTGCCCAAAGTAATTTATAGATTCAATGCCATCCCCATCAAGCTACCAATGACTTTCTTCAAGAATTGGAAAAAACCGCCTTAAAGTTCATATGGAACCAAAAAAGATCCCGCATTGCCAAGACAATCCTAAGTCAAAAGAACAAAGCTGGAGGCATCATGCTACCTGACTTCAAACTACACTACAAGGCCACAGTAACCAAAACAGCATGGTACTGGTACCAAAACAGAGATATAGACCAATGGAACAGAACAGAGTCCTCAGAAATAATACCACACATCTACAGCCATCTAATCTTTGACAAACCTGACAAAAACAAGAAATGGGGAAAGGATTCCCTATTTAATAAATGGTGCTGGGAAAACTGGCTAGCCATAAGCAGAAAGCTGAAACTGGATCCTTTCCTTACTCCTTATATGAAAATTAATTCAAGATGGATTAGAGACTTAAATGTTAGACCTAATACCATAAAAACCCTAGAAGAAAACCTAGGTAATACCATTCAGGACATAGGCATGGGCAAGGACTTCATGTCTAAAACACCAAAAGCAACGGCAGCAAAAGCCAAAATTGACAAATGGGATCTAATTAAACTAAAGAGCTTCTGCACAGCAAAAGAAACTACCATCAGAGTGAACAGGCAACCTACAGAATGGGAGAACATTTTTGCAATCTACTCATCTGACAAAGGGCTAATATCCAGAACCTACAAAGAACTCAAACAAATTTACAAGAAAAAAACAAACAACCCCATCAAAAAGTGGGCGAAGGATATGAACAGACATTTCTCAAAAGAAGACATTCATACAGCCAACAGACACATGAAAAAATGCTCATCATCACTGGCCATCAGAGAAATGCAAATCAAAACCACAATGAGATACCATCTCACACCAGTTAGAATGGCAATCATTAAAAAGTCAGGAAACAACAGGTGCTGGAGAGGATGTGGAGAAATAGGAACACTTTTACACTGTTGGTGGGATTGTAAACTAGTTCAACCATTATGGAAAACAGTATGGCGATTCCTCAAGGATCTAGAACTAGAAGTACCATATGACCCAGCCATCCCATTACTATATGACCCAGCCATCCCATTACTGGGTATATACCCAAAGGATTATAAATCATGCTGCTATAAAGACACATGCACACGTATGTTTATTGAGGCACTATTCACAATAGCAAAGACTTGGAATCAACCCAAATGTCCATCAGTGACAGACTGGATTAAGAAAATGTGGCACATATACACCATGGAATACTATGCAGCCATAAAAAAGGATGAGTTCATGTCCTTTGTAGGGACATGGATGCAGCTGGAAACCATCATTCTCAGCAAACTATCGCAAGAACAGAAAACCAAACACCGCATATTCTCACTCATAGGTGGGAATTGAACATTGAGATCACTTGGACATGGGAAGTGGAACATCACGTACCGGGGCCTATTGTGGGGAGAGGGGAGGAGGGGGGGGATGGCACTGGGAGTTATACCTGATGTAAATGACGAGTTGAAGGGTGCTGACGAGTTAATAGGTGCAGCACACCAACATGGCACATGTATACATATGTAACAAACCTGCACGTTGTGCACATCTACCCTAGAACTTAAAGTATAATAATAAAAAAAAATGATTTAAGTAACATTTGGCTCCAGAGTCCGTTTTTAAATCAGCTTAAACATCTTTCTTCTGTCCGCTTCCTTAGGCCACAGGGGTAAACTCTCGCAGTATGTATGGGAGAAAGCAGTGCACGCTGGGTGGTGCTACAGGAACCTAACGAAAGCTGGATTAAATAACCCCACTACCCCTGAGCCCCATCATCCAAAAATAATAATGATGACTTTTCCATCTGATGATTCTATCAGCACTTTTAGATCATGTAAATGTTCACTTTCTGGAACAACAGAGTAAGGTTAATATTGACACGTTTGGAAATAATGACGTTTAGGCAAATGGACCACTTTCACCGGTATTCTACTCCTTCTCTCTCTCATCCTGGTAATAGTGTGTAGACCATGTTTCTTATCAACACACTCTCAAATCAGACTGTAAAGTACCTGTCAAAGGTCTCTGTTTAAAAAAACAAGGCCTTACTGAAATAGGAGGTCACTAAATGCATTCAGCATCTCTGGTTTCTAATATGAAGTGTTCTTCCACACTCCTGATTCTCCCCAAAACTATTCCAAACGGTGAGTTATGGGACCTTCACTAACTTTCTCCTTGGGGTTAAAATTCCTCATTTTCACTGTTTGGGTGATTGACGGTCCACTCTCTACTCTTGTTGCTAAGCACATAATGGAAATGTAGATGAGAAAAACACAAATTTAATTACAAAAACACCAAAGGAAAATTGTTTGTATTTAAAAACATGACATACGAGATTCTGTAAAATTATTTTATAAAAATCACATTTTGAGGGAAGACTAAGTAGACACTGTTTTCTTCTAATAATAAGTATATCCTACTCTCCCCTACAGCAGGAAAGAGTTTTCACATTTTTTAAAAAAGCATAAATCCTTTTAAGGCATAAAAATATGACACTTTATAGAAATCATGCATTCTTTTAACACATACTGATCAACTGCCTGCTAATTAGATATAGATGTCAAATGGCACTTATACTTAGTTTTTTATAGATGTCAGTGGTATTCTCAATTACAGATTTGACAGGGAAATAAAACCTACTTAATTGTCTCCATGTCCTGAAAGAATGCACTCTATTTCATGTGGCCAGTTTCTCAGAATTCAACTCCAAACAGAACCTTTCCTAAGAGGGGCCAACCAATCCTCACCTTGACAGTCCTCCAGTAAGAGTGAGTAGACCCGCTGTCGGATGGGACGGTAAATGAAGGCCTGGCTGGGTAAGGCCTGGTCAAGCTCATCTTCCAGGGTGTTGCTGCATTCAATCTCTCCACTGCTCATGATGTTGTACACCAGGTAGCTCTCTGCTTGGACGTGATGTGTTCTAGCAATCTGTTTGAAATTTAAATACAACTGGATTTCTCCTTAAAAACAAGACAGTAACCTTCAAATCAAATAGACAAAGTCAATGCCTTTCATCATACGGCAGTTTTTTAAGGCCCTCAGAAATGTAATTGACACTGAAATTCATGACATCAAGTTGCCATGTTCTCTTTCCTTCGGACTACCAATTTCAAACTTTCTATTCCCCCTCCTCCGCCTCTCTCCAAACATCTACGTCTTCTGCAGTATTTCACTGTTCTGTCTCCTGGATACCCTCCCAGTAACCGGGTGTTCACTACTTCTCACCAGTATTGCTATGAAAGGGTCTTAATCCCCTAGCCCAGTTTCTCTCCTTTCCAACCCATCCTTCACACCATTGCCACACTGTCTTTGAAAACTTTGCTACCCTACTCAAAACATTTGAAAGGCTACCACAAATCCTTCGCATAACATTCGAGGTCCCACTATGAAGCCTCAATCTCCTTTTTCTAGCCTTGTACACCATTTCACCCTCATAGAAATGGCCATAATCCAGTCTCAACAGAACATCTTCATTGTTCCTCAAGAGTACTCAATCTTCTTCTACCTTCACTTGTGCCCCATAAGAACTTACCCTATCCAGAATCTCTCTTCCACTCTTTCCCAGCCTCTCACTTTACAATCCTCTTTCCCTTTAAGGTTCGCTGATGTCACCCTCTCCTCCTCCCTTAGACAGGACCAACCTCCAGCTTGCCTTATGGAGCTCATATCCTATTTTCCCTGTAACACAGCTGTCTGGTCTGCCTCCCTTATTAAGCTGTAAGCTGCTTAGCATTAGAAGCCGTACTGTATTCATTCACTCATTTGTTCAGAAATTGCTTCATGAGTGAAAACCACATACCAGGCACAGGTGCTTCTCCTCTGTAATGTCAAGACAGTGCTGGCTCATGGTAGGTGATGAGATACAAGATTTAAATTAATTCCACTTTCTCATTAAATAAGTAGTTAAAATCAGAAGGTCTATCATAGCCTAAATATATAGGTTTTACCTTCCAGTGAAGAACATTATTACTGTAAGAATAAGTTCATCTAGGTTACTATTCAAAATTTAAATCCAGTCTACTACTAAAGGCATTAAAATGTGATGCTAGGATAACCTGGATACCAGAAACTCTGAATCGTAAGTGTCTCATTTATATGTACTTAAACAGTCCTAGTTATGTTGATTCATTATTCCTAGGCTTCAGTCTTAATCTGTTCCTTACCTTCTTCCTAAAGAAAATGGGTTTAATAAAAAAGTGCCCGGCTCCCAGGACTATTGTGAGGATTAAATGAGTCAATATAAGAAAAACACTTGTCCTGAGGTGTGGCTTGCAGCTCACTGCCAATGCATGTTCTATAGGATTATAAGACTAGCCGGCCAGGCATGGTAGCTCATGCCTATAATCCCAGCACTTTGGGAGGTCGAGGCAGGTAGATCACTTGAGGTCAGGAGTTCAAGGCCAGCCTGGGCAACATGGCGAAACCCATCTCTACTAAAAAATACAAAAATTAGCTGGTCGCGGTGGAGCGCGCCTATAGTCCCAGCTACTCAGGAGGCTGAGGTAGGAGAATTGCTTGAACCTGGGAGGCAGAGGATATCTTGCCACTGCACTGCAACATGGGTGACAGTGAGACCCTGTCTCAAAGAAACAAACACTCAACTGATCTTCCAAAATGCTGACATAGAGAAGACACAGATATATGGCTGTGGTTATGTGCGTACCCAATGTAACTGCTGTGCCCACAGCCTTTCTACCTGAGCATTTTTCCAGGGTGACTATGTATAGTTGATATAGTTGAAATACATGTTGGAATTTTAGTTGCCTATTAGGGTTGGAAGATGACACTGCAAAAAATTTTTTATAGAGAAAGTGTAAGGGCAATGTAAGAAACTTCAAAACTGTTTTCAAAGATACAATTAAGTTAAATCCATGTCAACAACTCGACCCACCACTTTGCCCAGGCACTCCCTTCCTGTGAGGACTCTCCTTGATCCCGCCTTCCCCAACAAAGGCTCTTACACTGCCAAACCCCCGATGGCTTTGCCTCCACTCCCAACCCTGTGCTGCAGTAACTCTCGGAGGCCACCAGGACCTCCTCATGACTGACCCAAGTGCCTATGTCTAGTCCTATTTCACTTCTTTACCTCTGTAGCATGTGATACTCCTGTTTCTTTTCTCCTTCGCGAAACCTGCCCCCTTGGACTTTTGTGGGGATTATCCCCTCCTTATTCTTCCTCCTCTGCTCACTCCAGATCTCTCAGTGGAGTGTCCCTTAGTCTCCATCCCACATCATCTTTTACTTTACACATAAAATAGGGTAACTCCCAGATGCCTGTCTCTTGCCAGTAATAGAACTTTAGGCCCATATTTCACTATGAGAACATGTGTTGGAGGTGCTATCTACTTAACTAAAATATAACCCACTTAACCTTCTTCTCCCTGTCAAACCTTTCCTCCTCCTTCCTTAGATTAACAGCATCTACCATCCCTGGTGCTCCAGGAGGAACTTCACCTCCACAGCAAGGCTTATTTATTAGTTTCACTTCTGAAACATTTCTTGAATTTGTTTCTTCCTATTTCCACTGCCATTTTCCTAATTCTAGCTCTTTTGTATTTTACCTGAGTTTCTGCAATGGCCACTTTAACTCCACTCACTGCACTGTAATGTTTCTAAAACCAAAAATCTGATCACATCAATATACCTGCTTACAAAAATCGAATGCTGGTTGGTTGGCAGGTTCACATCACTGCCCTCCAGGTCTCATCACACAGCTGCTCAGCTGCTGTCCAGGCCTGAGTTCTGTATCAGACTTGGGGCAGGAGCTTCCTTACAGATCTATGTAGTTGTAACTAGATGAAAGATGGTGGCATTCACAGCACCGGGAACAAGGAAAGGTGTGTGGTTAAGATAGTTAAGTTTGGTTTAGAACTTGCTGAGGTACCTTTGAGACATTCATGTGGACACAGACCTCTTCTGTAAAACAAGGATAAGTCTATCTCACAGGGCTGTTGAGAAGATCTAATGAGAAAAGTTACCTAATGCACCTACCACAGAACCTCATACGTAGTGGCCCCCTTCAAAAATCTTCAAAGGTGCTATAATACTTTCAGAATTAAGTCCAAATTCCTCATGAGGCATTTAATAACCTTCCCAATTTGGCTTTGTCTACCTTTTCCCATTTTTTTTCTCCAAACCCCACGCTCCAGCCTGGCCTTTCTCCCTGTGCCCCCGAGTGATGCAGATTCGAAACCTACACCTTTAGTACTTCCACAACTCCCAAGTATTTGCTTATTCAATGCATACTTTGCCTGCCTCATTAAGGTCTGGCTCCAGTTCTACCTCTTTGGGGAATTTTTCCCTGTACTTTATTTATTTTTGTGACAGAGTTTTGCTCTCATTGTCCAGGCTGGAATGCAAATGGCATGATCTCAGCACACTGCAACCTCCGCCTCCCGAGTAGCTGGGATCACATGTGTGTGCCACCATGCCCAGCTGATTTTTGTACTTGTAGTAGAGATGGGGTTTCACTATATGGGTCAGGCTGGTCTTGAACTCCTGACCTCAGGTGATCCACCTGCTTTGGCCTCCCAAAGTGCTGGGATTACAGGCGTGAGCCACTGCACCCAGCCTTCTCCCTGTACTTTAACCCACAAAGTTCTCTTTCTCTCTTGTATTCTTACAGCACTTTTCTGTAACATTCATGTGATAGTATCCAACACTGGTTATGAGTTTTCACACATATAATGTCACACTTCCTAACAAGCCTTATAGACTCCTGTTGTGCATCCTCTCACAGTGGCCAAACACCAAGGCAGTAATAGATCTTCACCAACAAATCCGTCAGTGGGTATATTTTCAATCATGGCATACTGGCTGGGCAGATCCACATACCTTTAAGATTTCTGTGTCTGAAACCATGGTTACTTGTTGCTTTATTTCAGGCCCCACATTCGTGGGGTCTTCTTGTTTAATTTCAGGGTTTGTACACATGAGAGCTTCTAGCTTAAATTCAAAATCTGTTGCTACAGGTAATTTTTGATTGATTTCAGGGTGTGTACACATGGAGTCTTCTTGCTTGGATATAGGATCTGTACATATGGGAACTTCCTGTTTGGATTCATGGCCTGTACACAAAATTTCTTGCCTAGATTCAGGGTCTGTCCATATTAAAACTTCTTGCCCGGACTGAGGGCCTGTACACATGGGAACTTCTTGCCTAGATTCAGGGCCTGTACACATGGGAACTTCTTGCCTGGGTTCAGGGCCTGTACACATGGGAACTTCTTGCCTGGATTCAGGGCCTGTACACATGGGAACTTCTTGCCTGGATTCAGAGCCTGTACACATGGGAACTTCTTGCCTGGATTCAGGGCCTGTACACATGGGAACTTCTTGCCTGGATTCAGGGTCTGAACACATGGGAACTTCTTGCCTGGGTTCAGGGTCTGAACACATGGGAACTTCTTGCCTGGATTCAGGGTCTGAACACATGTGAACTTCTTGCTTGGATTCAGGGTCTGAACACATGGGAACTTCTTCCCTGGACTCAGGGTCCGAACTCATGGATATTACTTGTTTGTCCAAAGTTATTACACCTTTGGGTTTTTGGAAAAACCATGGAGATTTCTGTCCTGGTAAAAGATACGATGCCATTCCTTTATAAAAAAGAGCTTTGTTTGGTCCCAGAGGTAATAACTCTTCTAATTTTCTCTCACCTTGATACAAGTGAAGAACTTTCGATATATGGTCTGACACAGCTAATATGATGTTACCTTTTTTGTCAAAGTTCTCTTTTACAGAGGTATAGGATGATAAGCATTTGTACCTAAAGCTTTCAAACATGCCCTCTGGGATGATGTCGTTGCCAAGGAGGCAGGCCAGAAGAGGAAGGTCGGCTACATGGAGGCCCAGACTCTCACAGAGCTTCTCTCTGCAGAGCATGACAGTGTCCAGGCTCTCGAGGCAGAGCTCGCTAATTGAAAAGTAGGGACAAGTGTCATAGATTAGGTAATCAGTGTCTTCCCCTAGAATCCCAAGGCAGTTATGCTGGAGGCCATAGGAAGCTACCTCATAATCTGCTTCCTGTAAGGAACACAAAGTTTCCTGGCCCAGTGTCTTTAGAGCAAATCGTGTAAACACAGCTAGCCCTGAGGGGATGAAAAACATATTTCTGCCTGGCTGCTCCTTGTGTGACTTGATGTAATGAAAAATCCTGGATATCTCCCTATTGTTCTTGAGCCTTCGTTTCACCCATTCATCTCTCTTATCCTGCTCCACCATGCCATCAAAGAAGAATATCAACTTGATCCCAACCGCCGTAAAAGTTTTAACAAAATCTCGCAAAGCAGAAAAGTATTCTCGCCACTGGCCACCGCAGATCCAAGACTCTGGAGTATACCAGTATCTGAGACAACACATGGCATCAACCACAATGGTAGGGGTACATCCAGGATACTTGCTTCGGTGGTGCTCTGCCAGTTCTTTGAAATTTACTACTGTACATATATGTGGACAGGTACTTCCCACAAATCCTTGCAAACCTCTCACACCCATAACTGAACTCCGGGAAAGGATCTGGAAAGAAAAATAAATTAATCAGTAATTATGGCATTATCATTAGACATATGGCACCTTTCAAAGCAAACACAGTAGTTAATATTTACACTCTGTTTCCAAAAACATTCTTGTCTCTGAGGTAACACGATACGCTGGTTAGGAGCCTGAAGAGTTCTCAATTCAAACATATGAGGAACTTCACCGAAGTATAAGTTAATTACTTGAGCTGGGCTTTCACAAGGACAAGAGAGTGCAGCAGTCTTTTAATGTTTTCACTAAGATTATTCAAGGTATTTCTTGATAAAATTCAGAAAGAGGTTAAGTTTTCAAAGTAGTAGTATTTCTCACCTAGGGACTCAGAAGTTACTGTCAAAAATCTAAAACATAAATTGAAATACCACATGGATGATTCTCAAGATAATTTTTCTGAGTAAAAGAAGTCAGACAAAAAGAGTACACACTATGACTCGACTTACATAAAATTCTAGTTCATGAAGAGTTAGGCTAACCCCTAGGGACAGAAAGCAGGTCAGCGGTTGACTGGGATGGGGACAGACGGTGGAGGGAAGGATTACCAAGGGTACACTTTTGGGGGTGACAGATACATTCACCACTTAGTGGTCATGGTTTTACAAGTATATGTGTATGTTAAAACTTACCAAACTGTACACTGCAAACATGTGTCACATACACCTGAATAAAGGTGTTAAGAAAGTCACATAAAATTCACTATGCCTAATGTTGTAGTATCTGAGATAGTGACTGACTTTGCAGAGAAACTGCCCATTTGGAAATTTAAAAACAGATACAAAGTAGTTTACAGTTACAATTTGGAATCTGGAAAAGGTACGAGCACAATATTGTATATGACGTTATAAAAGGCGTTCTTCAAGTAGGCAATGATGGGCGTCAATGGTCAGAAAAACTCCATGCTGACATTCTTTATGATCTATGCTTTTTCCACTACAGTTTTCTTTAAGATTAATGCAGGCTTTATGTCCTTTGATAAAACACAACAAAAAATTCTTAATATGCAAACAGCAACACAAAACCAACGACGCCCCTCCTCGACAGGCTGAAGGCAGCAGGCACCAGGTGACTAAGCGCATGGGTATCTCTCATGTTCAGGGTATTTCCCAGCTGCCAGGCAGAGGTGAGCACTTTACACAGACATTCTAATCTTTAGGGTGACCCTGACATGTAAGTATTATCCGCTTTATTCTACAAATGAAGAAACTATAAATTGTCAGGTTGAGAAAAGGCATCCTCATAAGACTATCTTTTAAGAATGTACTGATTTTTTTTTTTTAGACCAGGTCTCACTCTGTTGCCTCATCTGGAGTGCAGTGGTGTGATCACAGTTCACTGCAGCCTCAACCTACCAGTTCAAGCCATCCTCTTGTCTCAGCTGCCACCACACCTGGATGATTTTTTTTTTTAATTTTAGCAGAGACAAGATCTCACTATGTTGTGTTGTCCAGGCTGGTCTCAAACTCTCGAACTCAAGTGATCCTCCTACCTCAGCCTCCCAAAGTGCTGAGATTACAGACATGAGCCACTGTGCCCAACCAGAATTTACTGATTTTTAATGGGCTCTAGCCCCTAACGGCAGAATTTGAAGGTATCCGTTTAATAGCCACATTAACGGGATTTTCATTAATTGCATAATGAAAATATGCAAAAATTGGGTGAACATAAATAACACACATTTTATGTTGACATTTAGAAAAGTCTTGCTCATAAAGCTATTAAATATAATGGGATACATTCATACATCTACACCAAAATCACTACAGTGATGTGATTTGTAAAGAGTTTATCTTGGAAACACAGCCAAGGTATTTGAGTTTTTGAAGTGGAAAGTGGGCTTCATATGTGATTATGTCAACTGTAAGGAGGTTCTACGTACGGGATGGACCCTATGTACAGGAAGGTTACACTCTTATTTCTGAAAAAGGGTATTCTTTTTCATTTGTTATTCCAACAGAGTAACAGGGGACAGGCGTTGGAAAGGAAATACAAGAATACAAAGAAGATTGGTCAAAATGGATTTTAAAAGAAGGCTTAGATTTCATCAGCTCTAGACGACTGCTGTATGCCTGGCTTTAATTTAAACAGGGCTTGCATGGTTTGCGGCTGATGAGCTGGCTACAGATAAGCCTCACAAATCTCAAGTGTGACTTGATTTCTATGCTGTGAGGGAAGGCCCCACTTCTCTCACCAAGCTCTGTGCTGGCTGCTGCGGGCCCAGGAGAGGCCCTGGACAGCAAAAAGGAAAAAAAAGGAACAGCATTTGAATACAGTCAAAGCAGAGGACTGAATCTGACTGCGAGCCAGGTCCTAGGGTTCACTGCACGCCCACTGTGGTCAGAAGCTAGCAGCCAGTGGGGCTCTGGGGCCAGGCAGTTCCCAGAGTTGCGGGTTGGACTGCTCAAGACACACAGGACCAATTTCTCACAGTTTAAATCATGAGTTCGAGTGTGACACTACAATATGCTCTTCTACAGTATTCACCAAGAAAAAGTGGGATAGTAAAGGTTTTGGGAACTTGTGATATTAGAGGATGTCTTCCAGTATTTCAGTATCTTCAAAGTGCTATAATACTCACAACATCCATTAATCAATGCAATTAGTGACGTAGGGAATAAAATGTATAAAAAGGTATGGAAAATTCCATGGATATGTCTCTAAATTTTTTCTTTTTTAAGCCTTTCATTGCTAAGACTATATATGGAGGCTTTTCATTCTCTAAAGGTGGTTATTATAGGATGACTGGGGAAAATAATATGTGTATATAAAAGTCATTCTATCTGCAAATTATATAAGAAATTTTCACTATCTAGGTAATCATTGTTTAGAAAGAAAACAGAAGTTATTTCTCATTAGGGAGGAGTCTAATTGCCCTAAATACGGCCTGGGACCCTTTGGGGATCACTCCCTTTAAGGTGGGCCTCACCATCCTGTCTTATCCCAGCACCTGGCACAGCATCTGCATGGGACAGGCCCAGTATTTGAATGAATAAATGAATTAATCCAAGGACAGTATATAAAGATAAATCAGGAATCAGTAAGTTACAGACTTCAATTATCGCCAAAGAAGCAGTGCAAAGTAGAATCACTGCCCTCAAGCAGCTTACAAAAGGTTTGGGAAACAAAGCATCAACAAATCCTAGTAAGGAGCTGCAGCAGGCGTAAGGTACAGCTGGAGGCTGCCTCGTTCCTGGGGCTGGCTCATTCTCCTGACAGCCAGACCAGTTCCAGGGTATTGGGTTACCAGTAAACGGGGAAGTGGAAAGTGGAAAGAGAAGTCCAGAAGCTCCTTTACTATAATCTTTCAGCTTACAGACACTTGAGGTTAAGAGCAATGTGCTCAGCAAAAACGAAACTGCCTGACATTGATGGACACACACACAGTGAGGACGACTCGTCTGGCGTCACTCTAGACAGAGGGATGAGGGACTTATGGACAGCCCAAGGGCAACTCCCCATCTAGACAGCAGCCTCTGCAGGACAACCAATACCCGGCTGCTATAACCACCTTAACACACTCCCAGCATCTAAGCCATGTCAAAGCATGACTGTAGAAAGCTAGAAGTGTAACTCAGGCAAGTAGTAATGAGCAAGGGCACTTAAGAGACAGGGAAGCTGGATCAGAGCACTAGAGGAGCTCAGGCTCACACAGTCCATCACCAAAGGCCCACTGGAATAAGCAAGGTAAGCTGGAGACAATAAAACCGTAATCTTTGCACAGAAATAATTTACATCTCTAATCTACAAACTAGCACATAACCCCACAATGTCTGTACTCTAATGGAGAGTAAGCAGCAAAGCCAAACAGAGGTAAATCTGTTAGAAAATTAAATAATCTTGGGTTAGTCTGAAACAACAGCCCAGTATGACAATACAAAACACGAAGTCTTCTTTTTTCTTGTTTTGTTTCCAAATACAAAGTAATTTTTCTTTCAATGGTAACTTCTGGCTAAGCCTGGGTCCAGGCTCTCCCAGTGATGTCCCCCCATGGCTTGCTGTGGAACATCTGAGGTCTGTTGTTTCTTCTCTCCTCTCCTCCCCCGCCTAAAAAGTGAAACTCATAGGGACGTCTCAAACACCAGTTGGGTGAGAACAGGCACCAAAAACCCCAGGAGATTAATAGTTATCCCTCGCCAGCACAAAGGACAGCATCTGCTGAAGGTTTATAATTTATGAATGCACAACCAACCAGGTGAATAAATAAGGGTGGGTGCCAGTTAAGTTGGTCTTGATGCTTCAGAGGATCTCCATACAAGGGTCATTAAACTGCTGAGCTTTGCAAGAATTTCCAACCACTGATAAAGACTCTCACCTTGACTCTCACCTTCACCACACTTTTGCTAGGGCCTTGAGCCCTCTTCTCTACCAGGCCTCAATCTGGGGCTTTTAGCAAGAATCCTGCTCAGTTTAGAGAGAACCCACCTTTGATATCTGGCCACCCTGGCCTGCCTTCAGCAAGAATTTCCCTGTCCCTGATGTCTTCCCTCAGAAATGCCCACCCCTCACCCTCACTCTGCTCGTTGGTTGTAAATCCCCAGCTGTCCTCACCGTGTTCAGAGTGGAGTCAGATCTCTCTCCTTCACTGCAACAGTCTTGAGTAAAATCTTCCTACTGTTTGAACAAAGGCCAGAATTTCAACATCGGCACCTCAAAGAAAGCCTATAGCTATTATGTACTTTAAAATTTCTAGGAATAGATGTGTAGACTCAGGGTGCCCTGGAGGATACCTCAGAACAGTCAGGCCATGACCACTGGCACCAGCTGATGTCACAGGGGAAGTGGGAGAATGATGGGCAGAGTTTTGTTGATAAAAGGAAAAGTTCCAGAATAAAATGCAACAGTCCAGATTCTAACTGCCACTTAGCAACAGTGAAATTGTGGTACAATTTTATTTATAATTATAAATTTGTTCATCAAACATGTTTATCAATTGCCTAAAGTTTAGTAAAATCTGTCCAACATGTCAAAATTCTTAAATTATCACAAATTTTAAAACAAAGACATAAATTTTAGTAAGGTTTTATTGTATTTATAATTTTTATAAGCTAGATTACTTTTTAATATTGGGAAATATATTAGTTTGTAAAAAAATGATCAAAAAATGAACCATTTGCAGAAAATTCAGAGAAAACACAAGAAAAAATTTTTAAACATTTTACATATTTCAGCCTTTTTCTACTATTCACTGCTTCTAAAAATTGAGATTGTACTTTCATAATCTGTTTTTGTGTCCAATTTATTATACATTCCCAACTCATAATGTTACTATTCTCCCACAGTGTCATGTATAACAGATGTACAACATGGACGTGAGTTCTCTAACTCCACTGGAGAACACCTGGATTATTTCCAACTTTGCACGCCATAACTAAGAATGTGAAACGCATCCTTGCATATAAATCTTAGAGATCTCTCATCATTCCCTTAGTATCTCAGACAGGAAGCTGCTGACTCACGGCATAGGCACACATTGGCAGTTTTTCTCCAGAAGCATTGTATCAAGAATAGACCCACTTGTAACATGAATATTCAGCTCTCTTCAACAATATCAGGTAATTTTATTTGAAAATAAATTTGGTTTACTCATTTAGCAAGCACCTTTATGTCAGACATTGGAGTAGTCACTGAGCTATGAACAAGACAGATGAGGTCCCTGCCCTCCAGCAGTCAACAGTCTCTTGGACACAAGTGTAGGACTGAGAAAGTAAGAGTGTTGGGGAATTTTCAGCAGGGAAAGCCAACCTCGTTTAGGGCTCTAAGACAATCCCCTGAGGAGAGGGTAAAGGGAAGGCCTGAAGACAGGCAGGTGTGGCCAGAGGAAGGCATGAGCAATATGGAGGAAATATTTTAAAGGTCTATAAGGTATCTTTTTTCAAATTATTAGGTGCTTAAAACATCTGCTCTATTAAGTAGTTTAATGTAACTTGCAACTGTATAAATTTGTTCAAGTATAGAAATGGAAAAAAAAAAAAAACGCCACCTTCAGTATGTCTAGAACCTATTTTAGGGGAAGATGAAGAGATGAGATACTGCTGGAGGAGTTGGGGCCAGGTAAGTGAAAGGCCTAGCAAACCATGCTAAAATGTCTACGCTTCATCCGAAGGGAAATGATATGTCACTAAGGACTCAAGCAAGTGCGTTTCAGAAACACTGCTCTGCCTATGTTCCGGGGATGGGTGGAGGCAGGCAAGTCTGGAGTCAGATGGTCCATCGTGAACCAGGTGCTATGGCTGTTCAGCATCCACTCTCCCTCCCTATTCTGGAAGAATCCCAAGGCTAGTGGGATGCAGGGCCACTTCCTATCACAGAAGAAAAAGAAGGGCAGAGAGACCCTCTTCTATCCCCCCACAGACACACTAAGAACATGAGATCTAAACACAACCACATTCCCACATTCACTCATAAATACTCATTCAGGATTTACTGTGCTCCAAGGCCTGTGTTAGGAGCCGTGGATACAGCAATGAATAAGACAAGATTCCCAGCTAAGACCATGAACCCTGAGGAAGGAGGCAAGCAAAGACTCGGAGTCCTCTAAGAAGCAGAGAGTTTTGGGTGAGGGCTGTAACACACATATCAAAATATACCTAACTGTTAACTGTGTGCAGTCTACTCCAAAAGTCCCATGGCAGCCCCTCTAGTCCCACTGGCCCAGATTAGAGCACATTATCAGTTTTGTGCAGCCTCTTAAGTCAAAGACACATTCTAGCAGCAAAGAAGGCGGGAGTCACTTTGGGGAGGCAGCAAACTTTGTGTCAGGTGAAATCACCTGCCTGAGGCCACAAGCAGTAATTAACAAGGAGGCCAGGATTTGAATCCACCTGACTCCACAGCCCAGCTGCCTTTCACTAGGCCACAACCCTCACTTAGCACTGCTGTAGGTTAGTGATCTGGTCATTGCTGTGTGCTGCCAGTGGGGCAAAGGCCTCACCACAGAGCCACCCTGTGGGATGTGTCCTTACCCGAGATCTCTCCTTCCCACGTTATTCCCAGTCACTAGCCTATCGGTGGGTCCTAAGAGGAGGATGGAGAATTAAGGAGACTCTCTGGCTTCTCCCAGCAACCCAGAATTCTGGTGCCCTTAGCCTTTCCTACCCACACTGCGCTCTACAAAACCCCTTGGAGGCTCTTGCAGCATAAACAACTTATTCAGAAGACGCTTATTTAGGCTCTTATTATCATCTACAGACGACTTTTCGAATCAGTTCTAACAATTAGCTCCTAAACCCATAATAGAGAAAAATACAGAAACTTTGGGCAGGAAAACTGACAGCAGTTAGAAGTGCTAACAGCTGACTCAATGAAATAGAGGACAGAAAACTTTAAAAACTGGAAAGATGCAAAAACCCCCACAGGAAATAGCTGTATATGCCTCAATAAACCTAACAACATTACTGTTCACATCACAACAAATTATATTTTAAATGGTCACTTGAGATCACTGAGGAAAGTTTACATCACATTCAGTACATTCCATTTAAGAACACAGGAAATAATACACTTTAGGAAGATTCCCAACCTAAACGGGATATTTTGGTGCTTAATGGGCAAAAACCTAATCTAGCCAGAAAACTCCTCTGCTATTCAGAAAGTTAATATCCTTTGGTCATAATTAGCCATGGTTTTATTGTAAATGACTTTATAATAATTTGCACAAATCCAAATTAAATTAATTCTTTGGACTAAAGTCCTAATAGGAACACTATCAAAAGTCGCAATAAATTCCTGTGTGAATTCACATAGTGTATAACTGTAGTTTCCATGGAGTTAAGAGTTGCTTTTATGATTTCCATTAAGCAGACTCTCCTTCTTAGCATCAACCTTTTCTTAAAGGGGGTGGCAACTCTGCAGTGAAATAAATCTAACAATACAGGCATTTAAGCTTGCAACAAAGAAGTTACAAAGATCCTGTCCAACATGCTGAGTTACTAAGCTCTGACATCTCCCTCCGGACATTACAGCTAAATAAAGTCAGGTTATGGCAGGAACTTGATCAGTTCCATTAGTTCACATTTTTTCCTCCATGCCTAAATAAAAAGCACACACCAGAAGAGGAAGAAGTAGGAGGTAGGGAAAGGAAGGGGTCTGAAGGACAAAAATGCAAATCTCAAGGAAGGATATGACAAATAGCCAGTTTTGCAGGGATCTAAGTTGTAAAAGACTTGAAACATACCATTTGGGAACCCTCTTTTCAAAAAAGCATACAAATTATAAACAGAAGATCTCTGAGGTCCCAGTGCCTAGGTAAGGGCCCATGCAAGTGACAGACCCAGAAACCTGAACTTCATTAGCTTTACAGTAAATCTGCCCCATAAATGGTATCCAGATTCAGGATCATGGATGGGGGAGAATCTCAGAATGCTAAAAACTATGTTACCCCAGATGTCACCTACTGTAGTTTTCTCAGTGGGCCACAGGTGGTCAGAGATTTCAGTATGTCTGGAAGATTAGGTGGTTAGAAACTAAGTAAAAAAACTGGAGGGTCAAGGTAGTCACAAAATGGGGTGTGTGTGGGTGTGTGCGTGCGTGTGAAGATGAGCGGTGAGGACCCTGACCCAGCAATGGTGTTGGTGCTTTTCAAGAATACAACTGGTAAGAAGGCTCAATTAGAGTTCCAAAACAAAAGGAATGGCAAAGTCAGGGGGAAAATCCACTAATGACGGAGCTGGGAGATGGCAGAAATGGGATGAAGAAGGTATCAGAACACAGACTGTGAAGGCTGTAGTGGTGACAGAGGGTGGCTCCTAACAGTAAAGTCCAAAGATGGGCAGGTCAAAGACCCTATGTGAAGGGGAGGTCAGAGAAAGGTCAAAAACAAAAGCATGACACTAGACATGGGGGAACCTGGGAGTACAGCTGTGGATAAGATGCTCTCACATATTCAGGAGATGGAGGTTAGGACCCTGCTGCTCCAGATATGGTCCCCATTCTGGGCTTTTCCCTCTCCATACTTCTCCACTCAAGGACCCAGGCCATGAGAAAGTCCACCCTCTCACTTCTTTACCTCCAGGTTCTCTCCACTACCACTTCGGGGTTTCCAGTCCCTGAACGACGACAAAAGCCTTTTGTCTGTCCACAGTCACCCTCATCCCCAACCCTGTATCTGCCAGACTGAATCTCTTTAACGCTAAGATCTGATCACATCACTTCCTTGCCCCACATGCTCTTTAGCTTCCTTCCTGCCATTCCCCATCCCTAACCAACATTTCTCGTCTCACAAATGCTCAACTCCTAGTTCCCAGAATATGTCAGACTGTCTGAAACCATCATGTCTTAAACATTTATGTTCTTACTGCCAGGAATAGGCTCTCAACTCTCGTTCACCTCCCAACTCCTGCTTACTCAAAACTCTGCTCAAATCCCACCTTTATGGAAATTTCCTGGACCCTCTGGGCAAATCACCCTCTAAGGTACCCTTTTCTTTCTGCATCGTAGGATCTGCTTGACGCTCAGTGTTGTCCCACGGGTCTGTAAATTCCTTGCTGGCAGGGAACTCTGTCTTTCTGTCGTTCCCCAAGGAGCTGGGGCCCTGACTCAGGGATATGCGAGAAAAGTGAAAAGATCAGAGGATGCCTCTCTCTTCTAAGGACGACCACAAAAGTCGTGCAGCTATGAAGGATAACAGATCTACCCAGAAATGACACACAGGAGCCAAACGCACATCTTAAGGGAGGGAGTCGAGGTCACAGGTGACCTCAAGATGGGGCAGGCAAGGCGAGCAGCTGCGGGTCGCGAGGTCGGGGAGC